CTCCACTTGACTTTGCTCCTGTTTGGATGCTAATAATGAAGTCTGTAGCGTCTCATTTTCGGATCTCAACTTCTGTATCTCAAATTGCGTTTTCCGTAACAAGTCAGCAGTCTCGTTTTTCTCCATTTCGGACTCTTGCATGTTCTCTTCCATGGACGAAATCAGGACACGTTGCTTGCTCAGTGTATTCTCCATCGACATTTTGGCCATCTCGTTGCTCAACAATCGTTGCTCCAGAATCTTCATTTCAGCTTTAGTGTTTCGCAATTCGTCTTCGGTTGCCTCCAACAACATGGACATATCTGTCGGACTACCTGTCGAGTTTCCATCTAATGTATCTTGCACGGTGTTGATAGCTCGAATATGCGATTGCAAATCCTTCATTGTGTTTTGCATTTCTTGCTTTTCCCTCTGATATTGCTGCGCGAGTTCCATGTATTCAGTACTCAGTTTATTGTAACTAGCATTTATATCCTCTATCGCGTGCTGTCGTTGTTTCAATATATTCTGATACGTGTCTATCTCCACCTGCAAACATTTCTTGCTGGCCATCAGGATATGCATTTGCGACTGGTACCATTTCGCGGAAGTCTCCACGGCAGACAAACGATTATTGGTATCAGTCAACACATTTTGTAACTTTTGTTTATCCTGTAGCACTGTTTGCATCTCCACGAATAGCTCGGTTATCTTACCCTTGAGACCTTGATTTGAGGCGATCCGAGCATTTAAATCAATTTGTATATTTTCTAAATCGACACGCAATCGCTCGTTCTCTAATTCCAACAGAGCCACGCGTTTAGACAGTTCAATGTTAGAGACATCAGGTGTAGACAGGTGTCGCAGATGGAACTCGTCTGTGATCAATTGGAGAGAATCTGTAGAGGTCATGGAATCCAGCTCTCCCCGATATGAGTCTGACAGATTGTCCATTGTGTCAATTTGATAGCAGATTAATGTGTAGTCAACAAAAGATAATCACCTAAATAAACACAACAATTTGTATCGATAATCAGTAGTTAATATATAATAGTATAATATATAATTGTATATATTCTAAGCTAGGAATGACGAGAGGTGTTGACTAATTATAATCAATATATAAAAGATGTTTCTGTAATTTCTGTTATATTCTTTGCGTATATTATATTTAGAATATCATCCATTTTTTTTAAACGAGAACATGAAAAAGAAATAATAATATTGATGAAACAAAGATTAAAACTGCGATTTGCAAGAAGATTAGAATCGTAATTCCTGATGATAAAATGTTAACTATTCTTTTTCTCAATAAATTCTAACATATGATAACAGCAGAGATTAAAAATATGATAAAAATGGTAAAATTAATCGGTGAAAGTTGACATAACCCTCTTTCAAGATTTATTTGTTGAGAGATTTTCAGTTCTATCAAATACAAAGAATAGAAAAAATTTTAAGTAAGTTTCTAATAGTGTAATTTTCTTTCTCGAATTTATGAATTAATAACAGCCGTGATCGCAATGTTAATACTTTTATTGACAGGTGTTATTTTGGATCTTGTTATCGCAAGTTAATGAAAGATGCAGAACGACATACCTCATTTGCGATTTTGTCATCTTTAATTAGTCGTAAATATCTTTTCACTGTGTTATCATTCGGCAATGTCAGCAATTTAAATTGCTCAAAACTAGCAATAATTAATTTAATTAACACCCTCGCAGCGCGCCGCCATTTTGATTTTATTTGTACGAACTGCACTCTGTAGTCAGCTTGATCTGTACTGCTTTGTACTGCTTTATACCACCTTGGAGTGTCATTTCACTTATACGTTTTTGTCGTACGACAAATATGTACAGAACAGAGAGATCCTCGGATCTCTCCATCCTATAGCCAATCAGCAGGCTTGAAAAATTTGTTAATAAAAACGCACAAATTAAATATCACCCTTGTTCTGTACTAGATACATACCTGTTATATTTTCTCCTCCTCTCCAACATGCTTTCTCTTTTTTGGTAATTATCCAGAAGATGCTCCTCATCTTCAATTTCAATGAAATTATGCTCATTCGACACGTTTTTGCATGAAACGAAAGAATCTGGCAGTTAAATGTTATGCCTAGTCCCATGAAACGAGATATTTATCGTTAAAGTTGACGACTATTTAGACTTACAAAATCTGTCATAAATCATGAAACACTGCAATGCGAGCATGCGCTGCGGTCACGTTTTTATGACATTTTCATGCTCTAGAAACTATCCTCACATTCCGAATTCCAAATGGGTTTTTATCATGGGCCTCTAAAAAGACTGTCCTCACATTCCACTGTCCTGATGAGTTAGAAATATTTCAAGCGAACACTGTCTAGGCTGCAACTTTTAGGCGGTTAGGCCCCAAGCGGGTAAAATATGTTTATTTTCTTTTTGTTCGGGGCGGCTATGCTACTACTATCCACACACTCCACTGTCCACATGGGTTGCTAAGGAGCAAAAAAATTAACAAAAAAAAGTATATGTATTTAACAATTGTTCTATTCCAAATAAATCTAATGTCAATGCGCGCCCCGTGCGTAAAGCAAAACTGTGAGAGCCGCTCCTGTCCGTCTTCTACGCGACCCGTGATACACTATTTCTTCTTGTAAATAATTTGAAAATTAAGCTTCGGATAAAATTTTTGTAAAGGAAAAATCGTCTCAGAATACAGCCAAAAATATGTCTCTTGAAGGACAAAAGGGACTATTTATGTCCCTTTAAGGACAAAAGGGATTATTTTAAATTCCTGTATAGGGTGTTTGGAAAATAAATGTTAAATCTTTCGCATAGGGACAGAATGGATTAAACTTGTGAGAGAAAAAGTCGTCATTTTGCAATTTTTGCAATAGTTAATAAGATATTAATTGCTAAAAATTGCCGAAAATTGGTCTTCAATAATTTTTTTACTCAAATACTATCAACTTTACAGAAAAACTGCAAGAGATAAAAATTGTTTATTTTCTTCTGATAGAGAAATTCTCTACGAATTTTTTCAGAATTTTTTAATACCATATTTTCTCATATTGGTAAAAATAAAAAAATGTAGTACTAAAAGGTTGATAAAAAATTCTTAGATTCTAAAATTCTTTTTAGACCTCTATGAGAAGAAAATAAACAATTCTTATCTCTTAATTACTTTTTGATCACTTTTTCTGTAAAGTTGATAGTGTTTGATTAAAACATTGAAAGCCAATTTTCAACAATTTTTAGTAATTAATATTTTCTATTGCGAAAATTGTAAAATAGTAAAGAACTTTTCTTCTCAGTTTAGTCCATTTCTGCCCCTGTGCGAAAGATATTATTATTACTTTCCAAACACCCTGTATACATCGTATATATAATAATAATATTAAAAATTATATCTTTCTCTTTTTTCGTGCAAAATTTTATATATATATATATATAATTTTTTTAGCGATAATTGTCGATAAAATGAGGTGATCCTTTTTGTCGTTGAGAAACAGCCGATTTGAACAGCTTGAGAAAATTTATCTTATAATCGACAAACAGTCATTTGTATTGTGTGGGTTAGCTGTAAAATCAAGAATATAGCGGATTGTTTAAGACTGTTATAGTATTAAAATTGTAGCGACGACGATAATATTAATAGAGGGGCTAGAAACAAAATAAGTTTTTTCAATTTCTTAAGATTATTGAAAGGTATGTTAAAGATTATGCAAAATACTTTCCAGGTGCCATATCATCAAATCAATTGTGACACCATCTCATAAAGATTTACCAGACTTATCGAACCACCCTTGTATTACAATAATTAAGTAAATATAATTTTTTATTGTTTTATCGTTTTCTCTATCCCTATCCTATATCCTAGGCAGCACAAATTTGAATACATGTCCTAAACTGGAGCATAAAACGTCTTAAAGATTTAAGTTATGGCGTAAAAAGATCTTGAAGACGTTTTATGTTCCAATTTTAAACATTGTGCTATCTGAAATTGTCAATAAATTGTTGACTTACAAATATCATTTCACATACTGTTTTATGATTTTATTTGGTTTATTCCAGAAATATATTAAAATTAGAAACAAAAAAATAGACCTATATTAATATATACAGTGGTATATCTTATACCATCATATATAGAATTTATCCGAATTTAAAAAACACTTTAAGGTGTAGCCACAATAGAAGGAATAAGACTTTCAACTTATCAGATATTGGATACACGGAAATACATGGTTTCTGATAGGTTGGAATCCTTATTCCTTATTCCTAATTTCTTATTCCTTCTATTGTGGCTGTATCATTATATGCGAAATACTACAACATCTTTTGATGCCGTTTAAATTCAGTGGTCCGTAAAACCCTCAACATGGCTGACAGTTACGTGATCGATGACCACCGACATCGAAGAAGCTATTTTTGCTACTGTAGTTACATTGTGTCTCTTTTTACAACAATGTTAGCGCACTAACATGCTGTAATTTACGTTACGCGTACTATAGAATTTAACAATAAAAGCGCGTTCTGAATACAAGCCACTATGTCTACTTGCATCATTATTGCAGGTCAAGTTGTTAAATTTGATTTTTTAATCTTTCCAATTCTAATTGTAAAGAAATCTTTAATTTTTACTTTCAAATTCAGATATAATAAATAAAATTTTGTTAAACATTTGTTAACGGAGAATAAATATAGAATATAAGTCATCTGGTTATAATTCATTACTAATCTTTATTTGTTCTTACTGGACGTGTAACTCACATGTGAGAAATAAATAATGTAAATAATATATTCTAATAAATCATCTTATTCCATGCACTTCTTGGAATGCAATTTTAAAGATAATAATTTCATATACATAGCCTTAAGCAGCAGCTGAAAATAGAGCAATTATATTGTTATATTTTTTTATGTTGCACAATATGTAATAGATCTGAGAGATATCTTGTTGATTTTCGAGCAACGAATAAAATCAAATATATTCGTATATCATCTCAGAATTCTATTTGTAATAATTATTCCTTTCTCTCTTTTAACTTCGCAATTATAATTAATATTTGATAAAATGGAAATCACAGAACATCTGCTATGCATAGTTATTTTAATTATAAATTATTACGGCAAACTGGCGGTTTCCTCTGTGGACCTGCGCAAATAGATAAAAACGAAAAGAATGTAATTTTATAATTTACGTATATAATAAAATATATGCATCGTATTTGAAAGACTGTTAAAGATATAACGTTTAGTAAGCATTTTACTTACTTATCAATAGTCTTACTAAGAGTATTATTCGAAGAACCTTGTACAGCTAAAACTGTATCTAAAACAGTTTTTTGTCCTGAAATATAAGACAAATGTTATTTTGCAATGTGAAACTTAAAAAATATCAAACTTTGATGTTTTAAAGAGATTTAAAAGGAAAAAGATAAATTTTTATATATTTAAACATATATATAATATATAATTACATATAAATTTTATACAAAATATATAATTTTTATTTTGTAATAATTACCATGCTGATACAATGCTGGTGACCAGCTGTAACTGTTAGGACTAGGAATTGTGTCCACTGCAGTGTTTGTAGATGATGATATTGATGATGATGGTGTACTCTCTTGCGCCAATGAGAGTGTAACGGAACTTCCACTAGCAGTGCAAGTGTTATTCCTTGCATCAGGCAAAACATTTTTCCTATACATTGAATATAAACAAATTGATTAAAATTGTTAAAGCAAAGCAAAGATAATAACTGGAAAGGGTCTCTTTATATTTATGATTTTTTTTAAATGCTTCATTTTTATTCTATTCGTATAATATTCAAATCTTACCTTGATTTTGATTTGTTTGTGACGCTAGCAATTGCATCTTTTTGTGAGTTTGGTGACAATTGAATGGCTTCGAATAATTGGTCAAACTTGAACATCTTACTACTGTCATTTATTAAATTCATGCTAGTGGATGAACTCGGAGATGATTGACGCCGAGATAATAAATGTTTTGACATAATTTTATTACTGTTTAAAAGTACTGAAACAATATTGTTCAAACATATAAAAATATTATTGCTGCTTCTCTCAATTTTGTTATTTTTTTTAAATCATAAATTGAATAATATTGGTCAATAACAATATTATAATAGCAAAAAATAAACTTTTTGCTATTTTTATACTCCAAATTAAATTATTTGTTGCAGAAGCTATTGTATATGTTATCAAATTTAAGTTTTTTTTAAAGTCTATTAAAAAATAATACATTTACTGATACTTTCACATTACTTACTTTTTTTTTACATTTGCTATGAGATGAACTATCATTATCAATTCAATATTATTTCTTTTAATATCTCATTACTCACCATTTGGCACTATGAGATCTAAACGCAATCTAGGAGACTCTATATCCTGATTGATTTTATTAACTACTGGCAGCTTTGGGATATCGTTTTCACAGTCTATTGAATTGGAACGCGTCGCTGGTTCGGATCTAGTTATCGGTATTTGACTGCTGGAAGCTATTGTTGCAGCTAGCTCCGATTGACAGATATTCGGCAGTCGATTCAATTTAGTCTTAGCGCCGCAAAGTGCTTGCGGTTGGGAATGATGAAAAGCACAATTAGGATGCTTGTTATCAATATTTAAATTTAAATCATTGCAAGCGGCAGTATCAAGTTCAGGGTGCTTGTGCGAGTACACCGCGGGCGTAGTAGATTGCGCTGGAGCATTGCAGTGCGACGGGCTGGAACTGTGACGTCGTAGACTTGCGAGCGAGGTCCTAGAATCACAGCTCCTATCTGCTTGTTGACCGAGACATAAAGAGTTCCATGTTGAATTTCTGTCTTGCATCTCGAAAAGATGCAGCAGCATTATTTCCCTCAACCTACATCACAAAAGATTTTATTATCTTTTTTTTTTCATTTAATATATATATAACACTTTATCCAAATTTTGCATATTTTGTCTTAATTAGAAATGTTTTTTTAGCTTAATGTTAAAGATTTTTTTCTCTCATATAATTAAATTTAATATGACAATAAAAAAAATAAAATTTATATATATATATGTAATCATAATCCTCTGTTTAATATTAAACGCTTTTTTCATTTTTACGCGTAAATGTAAAATTTTTATCAAAATCTGTTTCTTGATTAAACTGAAATTTTGTTGTTACAAATAAAAAATATAAATTTATATAACTATGTAAAGTCAGTTTACTTCTTGTTTAACTTATATTTAATTTAATATATTTACTTCTATATTTAAATAATAATTTTTATAATATTTATGAAATCCATATATTTTTTTCCATATATTGTTTTAATATTACAAAAGCAATAAATATACCTGCATGTATCTGTAACAGTATCCCTATTATTTTGTTGCTTTGTACGCTGCTTATTTTGAACCCAAGATGCTAGAGATTCCGCAACTTCAACGTCGTTCTCTCCTAAAAAAAATATTCTGATTTATCACTATTATAAATAAATTTATAATAATTAATCATTAATCATCCTATACTTTTTTATTTATCATATTTTTCTTATCAAAATTGTATTAAATGTATATGTTTAATATATATGAATATTAAGTTACTTTTTATATAGAATATATTATAGAGATTATTTTAATTATATATTTAATGTATATTAAGTTCTTATATTTATTAAAAATAAAGAATTTATAACAATAGTTAACATAGTTATGATTTAATATTGTTTGACAAATAAAAAGTTTTTTATTTTCGAATAATCAAATAGTTTTCATAAATACAAGTGCTTTTTATGTACATGAAAATGTACAGAACAGATAGTTTGACTAATTACAGAGTAATTTTAACAATTTAAACATTTGTATTAATTATACATAAGATACACGGACGCATTAAAACAGAGTAATTTTAATAATTTGAATATTTAAATATTAATAATACAGGATTAATAATATAGGATACGTACATGCATTAGGTGGAGTACAGTTAAATACAGAGTGATTTAAACTGTGCAAAGTAAATCAAATTTAAATATGGAATAAGAATAAAGATAGGATTCTACGAGCTCGCATAAAAGCTAATGGGGATGACGGACGTAGGGATTTCTTTCACACATTCTTCATGTTGTCTTTCATTCATGGAATTTTCGCTTTCAACATCTCTATCGACAGTGCACAATCGTTGTTCTTGCTCATTTCTGGATGAATCTCTGTTCGAGCTAGCACCTAATTTTGCAATACACTACTTAACATCTCGAACAAACATTTTTTGCAGCTTTAATTATGACTTATACAACCACGTATTATTTATTTTATCTAACAATTAATATTTGATCTTAAAATTTTCATCATTTATTGCATTTCTTTTACAATATAAATATGTATTAACCCTCGCTATACATATTCAGAACCATCCTACTCAATTGTCCTAAAACTCACCCCAGTGCAATTTGCTAAAATCGAAGTTTTTTCAAGTTTCTGGACTTTTCTTTTTCTTTGAACCTATATATCTCGAAGCTCCTTAATTCTATCGACTTTTACATATTACGGACTTGTTCCTTAATCAATTCTCCATCGATTAAAAAAAAATTCATTAAAATATATCCATTTTTACGAAAGTTACGAAAGATAACAAATGGATGGGATCCTAGGGACCCATGGGATGTGTATATCAAAAGTAGAAAAAAAGTATGTATAACTAGGGTTAAATATAACGTTATTTTCTATCTGCATAACGATATATCTGATATACATATACAATTTGCATTTTTTTACCTGACATGGTCTCATCATCTACGTCATTTTCATCATTCGTTAAATCCAAAAGTGTGATGTTGGGCTCATTGTGTTCGCATTCGTCCATAAAAATATCATGTTCATTTAATTCCTATAATGTGATAACGATAGATTCTTAATAAAGTTGGTAAAAAATATAAAACTAAAAATATTTAAAAAAATAAAAAGACTATGCTCACGTCGCTACTGCTGATACTGCTATCAGACGAGAGATTTAACGGAGACAAGTAAAATGACGATGGAGAATGGACACCGTTGTTGGTAGCCTGACACTCTCCTGGCGACGCATCATTGGTGCAACGTTGCGCGGCTTCGCCTTCCGCGACACTTGAGCTATTAACTCGATGCACATTGCTTGTCATCGACGATAATACCGATGTAGACAGCAGGGGATCACTGGCGCTATTATTGGACAATAGATTCAGCGGTTGATGACCAAGTACGTTGGGTGATGAATAAGGTGACGAGGAAACTAGGTGAATTCCCGTGGTTTGGCATTCCTCGGGTGATGTATCGTTGGCGCGACGTGGCGATGAAGTATTCTCAGCCTCGATAACATTCAAATTGGCACGGTGCGTCTTCAATGACGTCTTCGATGACAATGTCGTCGTAGAGCTGAGAGTATGCATACTCGACAGCTCGCTTAGCTCACACATTGGCATCAATTGATCGCTTGGTACCGTCGAGTTGCCATTATTATTGGGAAGTGTATTCAGTATTGATCTATTATAAAAAAATATGTTTTATTATTATAGAATATATACTTGCGTTCAGAATCTTGAAAGTTAAAAATAATAAAGCTTTTTATTTAAAATGTATGAAGGTTTAATTAATCTGATGCAATTCGCTTAAGTAGATTTGCAGCATTTATACCTCACTGGTGTTCCATTCGTAGTAGAATATACATCAATTGTTCGTGTATTTGAATTGATCATTGGCTCGCCTGTATCTTGTTGCTGCTGCTGTTGCTGCATACATATAGGCGATGTATTTACAGTTGCTGCGCATATCGTTCCATTACTTCCACTAGTAGCTCTGGTAGCCGCCATGGCATTACGAGAAATTTCTATCGCTAATCTCTGTGTATAAAAAAGTATTTTTTTAACATAAAATATTTCTATATTATTCTAATAAAATTTTATCTGTATTATATATGATCAATAAGTATTTAACTATACGTATAAATGTATAAAATATCAGAATTAACTTACTGTTTTTCCAGTTAAATATTTTATAAAATAAATTTTTGCGTATATAGATTTATTTCATAATTATATTATTTTAGATTATCTTATAATCGTAATATATAAATATGTTATTTTATATTATATATTTTCAGATTTTAAACCATTTACCTCTTTCAATTCATTAATCTGAGTGATATATTGATTTTGAACAGTTAATAATTGGCTAATGTACCATTGTTGATCTCTACAGCGTTGATAAAATGTCGGTGGTCGTACTTGGAATCTGTCAATTTTATATTAGATAATTATATACAATTTGTTATTAAATAAGTAATGTATTATCTTATTCAATATTATGCTCATAATGATAATGCTAATGATTATAGTTTTAATCTGTATAAAAATACTTGTAGATTTAACCTACAATATATAAGATATAAGATATATAAAAAGTTTATTATGTACACAAATATATTCAAAACTTTTTTAAAACATAAAAATTTTTAATCAATTTAGCTTTATAACATTAATTAAAAAATAATAAATAAAAATATTTACCTCAATATGAGAGTATCTAATTCTGTATTTAAGTAACCTTCCGTTGCGAGTAAGTCTAATCGAAAGAATCTATTATATCCCCAACATTCGCCGATCTCAAAATCAGACGCAAATTCGCGAACAATATTTTTACTCGTGTCACGAGAACCTTGATGAATCATTTCAACTCTGTACTCATACCTACAAAAATTTTTAAAATATAATAAAATAAATATTTTTTGTTTTATATTTTTAGATATATGATGTATTACTTTCGGTACAAGAAATGTACAAATCATTACTTATGAATTTTACATACTTTGAAGTTTCCGGCAATCCAGCACTGAGTTCTAAAAATACTGACAAATAATTTCCACGTACAACTCCATTGCCATCTGGATATACTTTCAGTCGCCAGCACAGCCCATTCACATGCAATGGTGTAGAATATACAGGATCAGCTTTCAGTTGAAGCTGAGTAAAATTTTGCATAGCAAATGTTGCGCTGTCGTAGCCTGGCACAATTTCACTAGAATAAAATAACTCTTGAAATTTAATATGAAATTATAATGATAAATCTTTAATCATTATAATTATGTGAACAAATTTCATATATAAATATATATGTACAATAATTACGTTAATCTTTACTTTAGAAGCCTTACCTGTGAAAGTCGGCAGGTACTGGTGCAGTGACAAAACTCGTCATTGGTTTTTTGCGAACTTGATGTATCTTGCGAGATAGCTCGGCGCTTTTAACGATCAATTCAGAGCGTGTACATGTGTGCAACTGATATTCCACCTCTTGTAATAGAGCCTCTAGCTGTTCGGTTTCCAAAGTTAACGAATTCTTCTGACCCATCAGAGTCAGCAGTTTAGCTTTTAATTGAGAATCCAGACGAGCTATCATTAATTCTATTGCGTTTCTAATCTCTCTTACTCTTTCATCTTTCGCAGCTCTCACCGATTCAACATTTCTCTCCTAATAAAATATAAATATGATAAAATTACAAAATGTAACAGAATAAATTCATATGCCTACACATTTACAATTTTCTTTCATTTTTCTAAATTAAAAATTTATAAACATAACATACCACTTCTTGAACAAGACTGATTAATTCCATGAGTCGTCTATTTAATTGACCTACTTCTGCTTTTATCTGAGAAACATGTTGCTCATAAACATCTTCTAAAGGTTTAAATGTATGCCCCGAATGAGTACCTCCCCAAAGAGCACATTGATGACAAATACATTTACGGCAAGTCCAACAATACACAGATAATTTTTCCTGATGTGTTGTGCATCTGTGATAATAATAAATAAAAGTTCAAATATTACAAATATAAGTTATATATTGTACAAAAATACATGCTTTGAATAAATAATAGAATAAAAAATCAAATTATTAAAAAATATATTAGTTTTTAATTTTAAATAAAAAAAATAAATGTCTCTAAAATTCTAGAATATTATTTCACACCTGTCTCTGCTGGAATCATCATGTCGAAAATTAGATATACAAACAGCTTGCAATGTATCAAGTTGCTGGGTTACTTCCTCGACCCAACGACAATTTACTAGTTCGTGTAAGTGAAGAGAAGCCCGACAGTGAGGACATTGAGAGCGCTGCTCAGTGAGCCACCTTCTAATACAGGTATAACAACACAATTTACTGCAGTGAGGACAGAGATGCGCATCTCTCAACTTTTCCATACAAATGAAACATCGGAAAACTTCTGCCAATGTCTATAATAAGAAAGTAAGAGGTTGTATTTCATTATCACCATTAATCTTATATTATAGTATGTAATTATAATATTACTATTCTTATATAATTAATCGATTTAATATGCATATAATAATGTATCTTTTTTATAGTGTACTTTATATATACAATAACTATTTATAATTTTAGAATAAAATAAATATAATTTTATTGTTGTTAATTTAATCATTAATATATATTTTAGAATCTTCACATTTTTTATTTAGACATAAATAATGAACGAATTATTAGCATCTCACATTAAGAAATTTTATTATAAAGATACTGATCCAAAATAATAAAATATGCTCAAAGAGGTTCAGTTTTACAGCAAAAATATTATTGTAAATTTCCAGAATAAGAAAAAGCATTATTAAAGTTTTATGGCTGTCGTTATGTTTTACGCAATAATAATAGATTAGTTCGTTTTTTCATATCTTTTTGCATTGAAATGAAATAAAGACGCCGCTAGAGAACGAAAACGGATCCAATCGACCTCAATGCTAACCTCGACGCTATGATCATCTGCGATTTTGGAGGAGACTGACGGGTCTCGGCTAGCCATTCTTGGTTTGAAGCACACTGCAAACGAGTAAAGACCGTTATCGTTATCGACAAATATCGATCACTTCACTGAGCGTATCGTCTGTGAGACACATGTCCCAGAACTAGATCACCGCGATGTGTTCGATTCGGCGGCGTCGATCATTCGAAGCATCGCTCAATCATGGGTTCACGCGATTTTGTCTGATTTCTCGTCGCGACGGTGCTTGAGCATCCTTCGCAAATAGACGGACGAAGCTGCACGTACCTATTCGCTATTTCGTTAATGTTCAAAATTTTTATGGCGAGAACCGTTAACTGTCATTCCTCGCATACGTTCCGTAAACAGTTGTATGACGGAACAGGCACGGCTGTACGGGTCAGTGGTTCCCAATTGTTACAAATCCCGAAAAGTTGACCAAAATATGAAGGTGCCTTTTCATGCGCAGCACTGCAACAGCAATAATGTCACGTGATACCAATTTTTCACAATTACTTTCGCTGCATTTTGCTGCGCATAAAAAGGAGTAACAACAGCATATGTATTAAAGTTTAATCTCAAATATGTGTCTTTTATTTGCTCAGTTTGAAAATTAATACAAAAAACTTAAAAAGCTAAAAACTTGTGATTATATGGCAACTGTTAGTGCAGTTACAATTTGGACAATTATCATTTCAGATAATTATTTAGAATATCCCCATCACTTGAAATCTTAATAAAAATGTACTCATTGTATGTACTTATTATAAATGTACTCAATTTTCACATTTTTTGCAAACTTTCTCGGCTTCGAATTTTTTGCTGCTCGTTGTTCGTTCGGTTGAACTTCAATGAGATGCGGCAAAATGTATTTTGCCGGAAGTGCATCATCTCATGTAAAATTGTTAACCAATACGAATTGCTGTCACAGCGTGTTGCGTATGAAAAGTCAGCTTGAGAGTTGTTCAATTTATACGAAATTTGGTATCACAGGATTTTTGACATTACTGCTTACAAATCCGAAGTTAAAATTGCAAGAAAGAAAATGGCGAATCTAATATGGCGAATATAAATTTTTTTAATATCAGTGTTCTTCAATTATCTCCAGGCCCTTGGGGTCCTTTTTATATCGCCAAAAATTTGCCCAGGATTGACGATTTTTAATAGTATCTCGTCGATGGTATACTATACATTTTCAGCACTGATAGTGAAATTTGGAACACAGCTTATACGAGCATGCGTCGCAAATATAAGATGGTAGATTTTAGTTATTGCGCATGTGATGAAAATGCATCCTAAAAATGAGCCTTTATACTTCCACCATGTGTCTACTCTAGAGTCTGCTGAAAGTGGCTGAAAGCTTGAAGGCTGAACGCGATTATTGAATATTATTGAAATAGTTGAAGAGATATAGCGCGGATTCATGATAAAGTGCGCATAAAAGGAGATGGCATTGTTCCGGGCATTGCCCGCCGGAATCGGCACGACGTCCAAGATCATTTCACGGAGCGTTCCGACCGTATTCTATCATGCAAACGTAATTATCGTCATTTTTTTATCCTTGTCATAATTCCAATCCCAACCTTTAATCGCGTATGTTTCACACGTACATGTTCTTTTATTAATATTTGTCTAATAATAATGTTAATCTAATAATCTATATCTCATTTATGTTAAATAAGCGAATGTATTTTTATATATATGAATAGAAAAATTTTCTATTAAAATATTTTATAATTTTACTGCGTAACAAACTGGTTGTGTGATGTAATGTGGCGTAATCTTTTTTAACACCAAGTATGAATATATACTTTGTGTTTCATGTTCCAATATATACATTGCTGAAGATCTATAATATATGTAACATAATTTTTAATATTTGATATCAACGTTTTGATGTAGTCACATTCCGAGCGTAATCTAATATCCGGCGTTAATACGATAAAAAATTTAGAAAATCTTATTTATACAGAAAGGGACTGTGTGTATAATAATTTTATAAAAAATTTTCTATTAAAATATTTTATAATTTTACTGCGTAACAAACTGGTTGTATGATGTAATGTGGCGTAATCTTTTTTAACACCAAGTATGAATATATACTTTGTGTTTCATGTTCTAATATATACATTGTCATTGCTGAAGATCTATAATATATGTAACATAAATTATAGATTTTTAATATACTTCTATATATATCAAAATATAGCTATAGATTGTATTTTCGTCTTTTTCATGTTGTTTTTATTATATTCCATTATGATGAAAATATTCATAAATTATATATGTCACAATCAGTTATATTTTTAAAGTCGGTGCACATAATGACTTCTATTTACAGTAATCAATTTGTTTTATCTAAAATGTCATATGTTATTATTTTATTATATAAACATTCATGTAAAATATGTTATGCAAGATATATAAATTTTATTTATTAATTTATACAATATTTGTATACTATGATTTTATTAATGAATCATTAATTGTTGCATATACATAATGTTTATGTGTATTATGATATTTCTAAGCTAAAAGTCTTAAACAAAAATGATCTGATTTTACAATTAAACAGGTATTAGATCACTATGAAAATCCCAGAAATGTTGGTTCCTTGGATAAGAATGATGAACAAGTTGGGACAGGTCTTGTAGGAGCACCGGCTTGTGGTGATGTAATGAAACTTCAGATCAAGGTCAATGAAGATGGCAAGATAATTGATGCAAAATTCAAGACTTTTGGTTGTGGTTCTGCTATTGCTTCAAGTTCTTTAGCAACAGAATGGGTTAAAGGGAAAACGGTGAGATTTTTTAATTTTATAATTTACTATGATTTAATCTTAATTATGCTAAATTATGATTATTCTTTGAATTGAATGAACTTGTAATATATTGGAGCATATTTTATATGGTTATAACTTTAAACATGCAAATCATAGTGTCATCATTGGTTGTATTCCGTTATTCACTGCATATACTGAAAATCTATGGTATATGTAACATGAACAATAGATTTTCAATATTCATGGTGAATAACACACCTTTTACAAGCTCTCTTAAATTTTGTTCAAGTATTTACTTTATGTTCGAGTTGTAACTATATACTGTAAAATGTATTACAATATAAGAATTTTAATTTGCTATTAAATTTTTTAGGTGGACGAAGCATTGGCATTGAAAAATACTGACATTGCAAAAGAGCTTTGCCTTCCGCCTGTCAAGCTACACTGTTCGAGTAAGTACACATACCTACTAATAAATTTGTTTTATTAATTTTAAATTAGACTATCATAACAATATTTTCTGAGATAAGACAAATATGTATTCCAATAGAAAATGTAAAAATCAAATATAATTAAGTATCAGGATTTTGTGATCTTACAAATATCAGTACAATTAGTAATCAGTTTTATCAGTTACAATTTTTTCGCAAATTGCAGTGCTTGCCGAGGACGCAATTAAGGCTGCTCTGTCAGATTACCGCATCAAACAACAGTCAAAGATTGAAGAGATGAAGTAACAGGACTCGAATCTATATAATAGTTGCTTTCCATTTACACACAAGTGAAACTGAGTTTGAAGTGAGCTGAGTATTTCATACTCAGATTAATGATATCATTATTTGCTTACTTTGGTAAAAAGTTATCACATGATAACACAGATTCATAACTTTACATTTAAAATGAGTTTACGAGACTCACTAAAGCACACAGTCTCGATCTTGTGCAGATTATGAGTAAAAACTCAGTTAAATCTTGTCAGAATGCAAAAGGAACGCGCATTCAACTGAGTTATGACATCACAAGTGAGAATTATCAGAGAATCGGTGTAAATGGAAAGCAACTAATGTATACATGTATATGGAAATATATGTATAACTTGTAAAACTCGTGCTTTGTGAACAAGCGCGTATTTTTTAGTCTTTCTCCAATGAATAGAAAAATATAATATTGAGCATTAGCTAATAGCGATCTACTTGAAAATATAATATATGTATATAAGGAAAGAATCCTTTCTATCATCTTTATTAACCTAGCTAAACTCCCCTCCAAATCAAGTTTGGACCGGTCAAAAATTTAGTGCTATTTCGTTCTTAATTTGTTTTAGAGCGAATTTTGTTGCTCAAATCGTTTTAGCAGGAAATTGCGTTTAAGAATGTATCACACGTCCAATCCCTGCAAAGAAAATTGAATTTGAAAATGTGAATGAATTAATATTTATATTTCAAATAAACTACATATGTATGAAAATTGTATGAATAAGATTACATATTTTATTTAAAAACATTTTTATCGTTTATTTATTTTATTTGTTATTTTTTATTAACAATTAAAAATTTTTAATAAGTTCTTTAAATATTCAAAATATAACTTATGCAAAGTTTTATTACGATTCACTTAGTTACAAAGATATAGAACAAAATATTTATTTACTGGACAATTAGTTCATGCATCGCAATGTAACTCTATATATAAATAATTTTGAATACATTATGTACTATAAAAAAATTGAGATTTTTGTCATTTATTTTATAATACATTTCCATACATTTTTATTAAAGCACAGATTAAAAAACTATTTATAACTATTTTTATAAAATAATTTACGATCCAGAAAACCGTCACCAAATTTGTCGTATTATTTTTAAATATGATTTAGAATAATCTGTAATTTTTTCATTATTTTATTATCTTTTTAAGTATATATAATAATTTTTTCAAAAAAGTGATCGGGAAAAGTCAGGTAAATTTTTTTTTGCACTAACAACCCTGTTTTTAATAATATTATGAAAGATCTTGCTTTCTAAGGGTTTTTAGGGTTGCTGAATTTGATTAATCAGGTTCTATAAGTCTAAAATCTAAATTTTAAAAATTCTGATTATTGTAAAACTCGATTTTAGAAGTTTCTTGATATCTTTGAATTTGAATGTAGTATTTAAATATTAAACTTCAAAACTGTAGTGACTTGAAAAAAAAAAATTCTGCGGAATTTGTTAGCTCAAAATTATGTACGGAATATGCTTGTTGCGAATTTTCTATCTATAAAAAGGCTTAAAGTTTTTCCTAAAAATTCGTTTTCAAAAAATGTTTCTACGACTTTTTGTTATCAAGTTACACGCGGATTAAATAAAAGAGCATTCTGATTTTGATTACTCATAAGTCTGTTAAAAAAATTATCGTACTGTAATTAATAAAACAGATTCTTAAAGCTGAAACGTTGCTCTATCAAGTATGGTGTAATTGCCAATTTAAAAAAAAAATAGAATATATGTACATTAGAGGTAAAAATGTGATATTGTCCCTTTTTTTCTATTGCGTAATTGTTATATAGAATAGTAATATTCATAATAATATTTTTAATTCAAATT